CCGAGTGAGTCTTATTAGCATAGGAATATAGTATAGAAATGTTATTACCTCCTGTTGTAATAGCTTCCTGGTACTTCCAATAAAGCAATAAGGCAGGACTGCCGAATATAAAAAAAAAAAAAAATTAGACAAATTACTTGAATTGTTACTAATGAAATCATGGCTGTCAATTAAGTGAAATATGTTTCTGGGCTAATTTTACCATTGCATAGGCCCAAACTTAAAAAATTTTTTTATTTTTGCAATTAAAAAAACTAAAAATTAAATCCAGCCAAAATTATATATAATGTGGGCCAGAATTTGTTGATCACAGCTGTTAGCCAATCAAAATCAAGGATCAACTGTGGCACCTACATAGGTTTAATGAATCCTATGTTCATAATATAGTATTAAAAAAGTTAGTACCTATAAATTAAATTTTTTTTAAAACCTTTATAATGAGGGACACCAAAAAATGTACTTTATTTAAGTTCTATATATTAAAAGAATTGATTTTTACTTTTATAATATAATATTTACATACAGTAAGATCTCTCTAAGTTAGGGATGAGTTCAGTCGGTCATGGTCAGTCATGGTCAGTTATTATTGGTTATTTTATGACTAATCGTGACTGACTAGTTATGACTGATAAAATAAAAAAACATAATATTTTCAGGATTTTCTGTCTTATCAGGTTAATCTGTGTTGATCTTTGTCTTATTGGGATGATCAGTGTAAATCTTTGTCTTATCGGGCTGATCTGCATTGATCTGTTTTTTTTTTATAGTATCAGTCAACCAGTCGGCTAAGCCGCTTTGACCGGTTAGTATCAGTTATGGTCAATAACTGTGGTTAAACAGTTATAACTGTAACCGGACCCATCCCTACTTTAAGTGCACCCCCTCAGAACCATAGTCAAAAAAAAGCAAACTGTGCACTTAAAGCGAGTGCATTTATAGAGAGAAAAATATATAATGTTCTTATAAGTTGAGACCAAGTTATGCCAAGCATTTAGAGAGAATTTACATAGTGTATACACTTAGAAAGCATGCACTTAGAGAGGTCTTACTGTATTTACAATTAGACCCTTGGATAGGGATTTCTTTGTTCTATTGCTATTTCCTATATTATTGTTGAGAGTTTTAATCTTTTTGCTTATTCTATTTTTAATCACAAGAGAGAGGATTGGCTGTGGAATGGTGGTACCCCATCTGGTCTGTGTGTAACAATACCAGATCTCATATGCTGCAATAATGTGTATCCAAGCTGCAACCTTTCTTTTTGTTTTTTTCCTTAATATTTGTTATTGTGAAAATTTCCTCCAAGGTGCTTGGTGGGGTCCCTTTTATAAACCTATACGCAATACTCCATATCGTTTTAGCTATCTTGCAGCTGAGACTGAAATGTATTGGGGTTTGTAGTTCTCCTGGACATTCCAGACATTCTCCATTATAGTTTTGTATTATATGCAATAGACGGTAGCCTAAGGGAAGTGCTCCATGTTGGAGGCGCCAGAATATATCCTTTCGTTTATTGTCAGTCCACTTAACATTCATCCAGTTCCATTGTGAAGTCTATAAATTATTTTAATCATGTTAAATATAGTTCTACTTCTAATCTGAATGATCGAGATGATTTTAATAATCTTCAATAAAACACTAAAAAAAAATAGTAACAAAAAATGAATAAATACTCGTAATGTTGAGGTTGGTTTTACTCGTCGTTCTTTCTTCTATTATCTTACTCATCTTTCTTTTATTATCTTTTTTTTAGAGATCAGAAAAGATACATTCATTCCCTAATTCAATTCCATATTAATTCCATAACAATCATTATTAATATCATTATTCCTATAATTTTTTTTCATTCTGAAAAAGTAATGGATTTTCTAAAATATATTCCTTTATTTCCGTATTAACTTATTTGTTCGTTTTGGCTACTTTGGTTGAGCCAACTATAGAAGATGATAGAGTTAGATATAATGTTATTCTTAAATCTAAATCAGATTGGGATAAACATTATGAATGGTTAAAGAATAATCTCGGTAGAACTATTGGAAAGTCAACACAAAGCATTTTATCGATTACAAATAAAAATTATGTGAAGGATTTTTCTGTTGATGCTTTTTACGGATACACTGCCTGGTTTACTCAAGAATTTGCTAGTAAAAAATTAAAGCAGAGAGATGAAGTCGCCGTTGTGGAAAAAGATTTTATAATGAAAACTAATTATGTGGTTCCACGTGATGTCCAGAACACAATAATCCCAAATCGAAATTTGGATCGTATAGATCAAGCAGATTCTGTTTTAGATGGAGAATATGAATTTCCTGATACAGCAGGTGAGGGTGTAAATGTTTTTATAGTGGACACGTAAGTAGTTCAAAATAATAGCTTCTATTTAGTATTCATTAAATGTTAAAATAAATGATTTAATAATGTTTATGAATTATAGTGGTATATTAAAGGAGCATTCAGAATTTGGAGGACGTGCTAAATCTGGAGGCTTTTTTTGCGATAATTGTACTAGTGATGATGACGAAAATGGACATGGAACTAATGTTGCGTAGTCGGTAAAAAAATCTACAATTATTTCTGTAGTAGTACTCGATGCTTTCGGTTTTGGTAACGTTTCGGACATTTTAAATGGATTAACTTTCGTTCTAAAAACTCAAAAAATCAAAAAACAAAAATTCGGTAGTCAAGTATGTATTAATTATGATATAAATTATGATATAAATTATTTGAAAAATATAATTAATTTTAAAAAAATTTTTTAGCATATCTCTTGGGGGCAAAAATACTATTCTTGATGGATCGGCAGTACTGAACTTGATGGGGTTAATAAAAAAATTTATTTGGGTACTGTTCTTGATAAGGTTCTAAAAACGAACCCTAATCCTAATTATTTTTCACTATAGTAGTATAGTATTTTAGAGGTTCTTTTTTAGAACCCTATCAAGAACGGTATGTGGATTATTTTTCTTTTGCTACCTATCAAAAACAGTACCGACGATCCATCAAGAATGGTATTTTTGCCTCTTGGGGGGCCGAAATCAGATGCAGCGAATAAAGTAGTAAAAGCGCTCACAGATGCAGGTGTTCATGTAGTTGTGTCTGCAGGAAATAGCACCGAAGATGCGTGTAAAATATCATCAGCATCAGAACCAACTGTAATAACTGTCGGTGCGGTAGAAGTTGACCCGAACGATAAAAAAAAGAATAAAATCACATCTTTCTCCAACTTTGGAAAATGTGTTGATATTTTTGCTCCAGGTCTCAGAGTTGTGTCAGCAGTTTTTTTATCTGTATTTGATATTAGTGCACTGTCAGGAACCTCTCAAGCAGCACCATTTGTTGCTGGTACACTTGCTCTTATTATTGCTAACGATGGTAATACAAGTCCAAAATAATGGCCACTGTATTGAAGGATTTGTCAATTAAAAATGCAGTAGATTTTGGTGGTAACAAAACTGTTGAAAAAGGTACTCCAAATCATTTGGTGCACGTACCTGCACCATAAATTATTGAAATGTTATTATATATTTTTGTATCTCTTGTAGTGAATATACTAAATTAATAAAGCTTCTTATAGAATGTGAAATGAATACATTTAATTCATTACTCTTAATATATTCACATTAATATTTTCAGAATTTGTCAATAGTTGCTTTTATAATAACAGTTGACTTACGTACTGTACGTAATTGGTAAATATTTGCATTTGAAGTTGTATAACGATGAAATCCGAAACCATAGCACCTCGTAAGTTATACAAAATTGTACTATATTCGTATTATACTAACTGTGAGGTTACTGGTGTTGCCTAATAATCTCTATATGCTTTGTTAGTATAACACGAACAATACAACTTTATATAACTTGCTATGTTACTATAACTGATAAGTTCGAATTTTGTTCTTTAATGGGCCCGAAAAATAACATATAGACAATACTATTAATAAGTAAAATAATGGCAAGACTCCTAACACAATCCAATGTTTTAATTTATTTAATTGATTTCTTTAAAAAAAATTGAATTGGCCAAACATAATTAGGTAGTTTAAATCAATAAAAAAGATAATTTAATTCGCCAATGTACTTGTTGAAGAACAAACTTATTTGAATAAAGCAGCAATAAAATATGTGAGATTCAGAAAAGGTTTAATTGTGATGACTTTACTGCTAGTTTTTGATGGTAAATAAATACTTTATCTTTTATCCTTTTAGCTTCATTTTTTTGAGTTTCTCTACACAATGTAAACAGACTAAAGTTTTATAATCCATGTAATTATTATTACTTTGCTTCATTTATTTGGTTTTATTGGTTAATACTTTGGCAATCTTTTGATCAGAGATGCCACATAATGCTGTTGCGTATTTGGACAAATTTGGTCATTTTGACAATGTCCAATTTGTCCAAATAATTTAATTGGCCATAATAAAATTTTTAATGGACATTATAATGGATCCGTATTATTTCATCGACCGACAACTGAGTGCCTTGACAATTAATCTACTGACGATTAATTCACAGGCAAGTTCATTTAGATAGTTTATTACACTGGCAGCTTATTTCACAGACTTTTCTTATAAATTGCACTAACTTCAATTCTAAACTTGACCTTAATAAAAATGACCAGAATTTCTTTATCTGTGAAATGAACTGTTTGTGAAATGAATTGTTTGTGAAATGAACCTTCTGTGAATTAATTGTTGGAAAATAAGCTTGTTCGCAAACTATTTGTCAGTGAATTAAGTTGTAGAAGTGATTGTAGATAAAATGAAGAACCATTTTGTTTATGTAGTTTATTACGAATATTTAGTTTCTTATTAAATTGCTATCCAATAAAATTATTGGACAATTGGACATATGTACGAGTAATAAATTGGACATATGTTCAATTATACCAGTACGATCACGTTTCTTGTGTAACATGAAATGTGTATAGGGATGGTTTCCTTCAACTTTTTTGATGTCGCTT